GACAATGGCCTAAAAATTGCTACGTAGACAGGCCCCTTCAGATGCAAACCCCATGTGTGCACAACATTTATTAATGCTCCAATAAATCCCTAAATAGATGCACAGATTGAGCTTATGTGTTAAGAACACTGCTAATTATCTAGTGACTGGTCTATAATTATTAGAAGACTATTGATTTCATACCGAGTATACGACTGCAGCAATAGCTATACTTGGTCTTAGAATCCAAGAACTAAAGTTTGGTTCTGCTATTAAACATACTAGCACGCACAAAATTGATGCAAATAGATTGTATAAGAAGACTACGGTGAACTCTGCAGGGTATATCTTCATTACTTGGGCCTGCAATGTGGGAAGCTGTTGAGGTATTGATTCTTTGAAAATTTTCTAGTTGTCAAAATGCATATGCCAGGAAAGTTGTCAGATGAATCCCAAGTGATTGAGTAATGATAAGTATATTTACCAGCACGATGTACCAGATTGAGAAAAGAAGGAACTCAGCAACAAGCAGGAGGCCACCAATGAGCCACTGAGATAGTGCTGACCCTAAAGGCCATTGAAGTGAAACAGATGATACAGGGGTAGAAACTGTTGGGCCCTTATACAGAACAACAACAAAGGCACCTGAAATTGAGACTATTGTCCCAATGATTTTTGCCTGAGTACTTGAGCTTCTGATTGCTACTTTTTCCATCCTTTTTCATGCAATTAAATAGAAAATCAGATTACTAAAGAAAAAGGGGAGAAAAGGCAAAAAACTTCAAGAGGAAATAAATGACCATCATCTTAGTATCCACTAAGTGGACCTACAAGATTAAATAAACCCCGAAACAGTAACATTTGATGTTATATGTATCATGTCACCATATGCAAATTTCTTCTTAATTGATCAACTGATTGATTGATTAATTAATTCTTCCAAATAAAATATGACAATAATTGAGAGAAATAAATGTACAATCAAACAAATAAGAAAATTTGATTTCAGGAAATGGTCAAATAGTGGTAAATAAAAATCTGATTGTTGAAATGAGGAAACCTGAAAATGATGGCAAGTATGAAGGTAAAAGCCGGGACGAGATTGCTGATGGCAGAAGAAAGCGTGGGAGAGCTATACTCTATGCCTTTATATCCCAATATCTTCCCAAAAGACCTGTACCAAGAAGTTGAATCAATCTTCAATCTTTGCATAAAGAATCGTAGATTAAAGGCAAACAGATACAGCTTTTATGTGGAAAAAGAATTCAAACATACCCAGCAAACACAAGGAGGCAGATTCTGGAAACAAGAGGGAGCTTGAATGAAGGAAGGACCGCTGTGCTGCGGGGATTCAAAAATCAAAGGGTATCAGAAAGTAGCAACTTTTACTCATTTTTGCTGCAAAGAAATTTAAGATGAATATAGATGGATGATGCTTAGAAGACCTGGGAAAGATGAAGAGGAAAGGTATGAGAACAATAGTGGAAATTGCAAAAGAATATGTGCTGAAGATGTTGTAGCTCATCCCCCTCAAAGTGGCTGCTTTGAACAGAATGTTTAAGCCAACGTTGACGCATTCTGCTCCGATCATGGCTGCAAATGGCAGCACTTCTCGATGGCAGTATGCTCTTGCCATTTGACTAAATATGTCAGTTAATTAAGTTCTGCCTCTCATATTTATGTACTAGGATTGGCATGAATAGTCCTTCATTTTTCTTCTAAAATGCAATTTTATCCTTAAAGTTTGATTTCAAACAAGGAAGTCCTTGATATTGCAAAATTTCTTCAATCGAATCTCAGGAAGGTACATCCATGGGAACACACCTCAAATAACACCAGGAATGGGATAGCTAAGACTATAAGAAGGAAGTCATTGCATCAGTTTCGGTTTTTCAAAAAATAATAGTTTGAGGATATGATTGTATTTTATATTAAAGTATAAGGACAATTCACGCACTTAGTCTAATTAACAACCAACAGGACAGCAACCTCGCGCAATTATTAGTTAGTCCCCGTTACCTTTAGTTAGGGTTAAAGCCAATTGTAGTCCTTGTACTTTGTGAAAATATTCATTACCATCCCTCTACTAAGGAAATGTTCAATGTCATCCCTTTACTTTTCTTATACCATAAATGTCATCCCTCTACTGTCCCTTTTTTTTGTTCAATGTCATTCTTAATTGGATGCCATCCATTTTGCTGTTAACTTTAATTGTTAATTGCCTAACTGTCAAATATTCAACTTTTGTTTATGAATTTTTCTAAAAGTACATATTAATGATATTTTTTGTAATAAATTTATATAAGAAAATATAAAAGTAAATATTAATTTTAATATCATTATCACGTAAATAAATTTAATTAGACAGTTGATAAATTAAATATTACTTTTTTTTAACTTTTAACTGGTATCCTAAAGATATAAATTAGAATAACTCTTAAAACACAAATTAGAATAACCCTTTGTTTATTAATTTTTTATCCACCTAGTGAGACTAGTGAGACCAATTTCTTTTTTTTTTTTTAGTTTTATATTATTCTTTTTGGTTTTAACACCTAAATTAACGAAATTTGTTAATTCTCTATTAAAATTAAAATAAAATAGTTATAAGATTAATCCTTAAAAAATGTAACAATTTAATTCTAAAAGTTCAAAAATTATAAAAATTAGTAAATTAAAAAAAATTAATAGATGACTTTTTCACATATACTAAAACATATATTAAAACAGTATTAGATATTTATAATCAAATTGAGCGATTAGCTTAATTTGGAGAAAGAATTTTGACTGAAATTAAGGAAAATTTCTTAACTGAATTAAAATAAAAAATTTAAGAGACCAAAAAAAATATAGTCAAGAAATTTTTTTTAATCTTAATTAGATTTCTTTAGTTAGATTAAGTTAATCATTCGATCTACTTGTAAATATCTAACATTGTTATCATATATGTGATAAAGTTATTTACTAATTATTTTTAAGTTATTAATTTTTTTTAAACTTTTAGAATTAAATTGTTACATTTTTAATTTTTGATAATTAATCTTATAAATTTTTTTATTTTAATAAAAAGTTAACAAATTTTGTTAGTAAATAAAAAATTAATTAACAAAAATTAAATGTTTGACAGTTAGATAATTAATAGTCAAAGCTAACAGCAAAATGGATGGCATCCAATTAAGGATGACATCTAACAAAGAAAGAGTAGTAAAGGGATAACGATTATGGTGTAAGAAAAGTAGAGGGATGATGTTGAATATTTCCTTAGTAGAGGGGTGGTAATGAACATTTTTACAAGGTATGAGGACTATAGTTGGCTTTAGCCCCCTTTAGTTATTCTAAACTGTATGGTCCCACTCTTATTTTCATGGTGGACAAAAGGTCTACCATCAATCCAATTGATCTAGAAAATAACGTCTTCGGTATGGCAAAAGTGCTCTTTCGTTCTTGACCAAAAAAAACAAAAAAAGTGCTCTTTCGTAGATTCAATTGCACTGCAAGAGTAACAAATTAATTAATTTAATGATTTTTTTTAAAATAAAAGATTTTATATTAAAATAGCATAGTATGTAAGTGAAGTAAAATAAATAATGAGGCATAGTTACTTTTTATTTTGTAATTAAAATAAAAAAAATTATTACACTGTAAGGTGTTAAACAACACTAATTATTAAAGTAAAAAGAATTCTTTAAGTGGAACATTTTTTATTTAATTGTTTATATTTTTTGTTATAAAACATTAAATCTATATTTTATAATGGATTTGTGTGCATAAAATGGTATATTTGTGAATATTTTTTTTTTCTCTAAAATTTTCTCATTAGTCAATTAGCTAATAGAAAGAAGAAAGATTTTTTTGACCCTTCAAACCAACTCCTTGAAGGATTTGTCTTAGAGGTTTTTTTAATATTTTGTTTAAGGGTATAATTATTATATTTTTTTATTAATTAGTGTAAGAAAAATAAAAATTAATTTTTATTTAAATAATTATCTAATTAAAATTATTCATTAAGTATTAATT